GTTCAGTGCTGAAAGAAAAAAAAGTTCAAACAATAAAAGCAGTTCCTGACCCAAAGGGCTTCCAGCCTAAAAAACAAGCATCAAGAAGAGAGAACATGCTGTGAAAGCAGGAGAAGGGAACAATCTATAGTTATTACTTGTCTATTGTTTTCTTACAACTTATAATCATCACAGAAAGAGAAAATTTTTAGATGGGATCTCAGTGAGGGACAGGTGGTAACTGTGCGTTGACACTGGGAGGAAGGGACAATAGGAAACACCACACAGAGAGAAATAAAAAGCCAAAGATGATTTCAAGCATTAATGGTTGAAAAGGGGTAAGAGGTAAAAAGAAAAAAATAAGGGGTAAAGTCCAAGACACAGGCTGGAGTAGAGTTGTAAAGGAGATGTGAGATAAAAGAGGACACTTTTTTTTTTTTTTTTTTTTTTTTTTTTTTTTTTTTTTTTTTTTTTTTTTTTTTTTTTTTTTTTTTTTTTTTTGAGAGGGAGGTATAATTGCTGAGCATTTTCTGTAAAAAGGTCAAGCTGGTCCAGCCTGTTACCATACTGAGAGAGTGACCCCTCTCACCCCAAAGTAGCTGCTTACAGTTATCTGAAAGTAAACATTGTGATCTCCTACTTTGACTGAAGAAGTATGTGTAGAATTAGCTTTCTAAAACTGTCTCTGGTAAACAACATGCAACATAAGAAAAAAAAAATCTTGCCTTACTCAAATATAAAATGTAGAGACTAAAAGCCAAGCAACCTGGAATCAAGAAGTTACAAAAGGTTCATTTATAAGACTGCTGGATGTCTGACCACTTTTTGTTAATAGCAACTTCCAAACAAAACGCTCATTGACTTCAAATGGAGCAGGAACAGACCCAAAGATAGCAAATGAACTAATAATTCAGTACAAGGTCTGTAAAACACACTGGGCCATCTTATACTGTGGCATCTGATATTGATCTTAGCTTGGAAGCTATACAGCCATACATTTTTTACAGGACTATCCAACCCCTACAAAACTGATGTTAACTCAAAATGCACAGAAGTATCAGGTAACTACCAAATAAACAAATTACATACTCAGCTTCTTTTACCTAAACAAACACTGTTTTGTTTGTGGCTAACAAACATCTTACATTCAAAATTATTTTCTTGGTTGGTACAACACAGTAAGTGCTTTAATACATCTGCTAATTGCTTTTAATGAGTGGGGAACAACTCTGCCTGTGCATGTATCTTACATCAGCTTTTGAGGAGAGCCTTTACTGACTGGTCTTCACTATTGCTGTGCCTAAACCTAAGCACAGAGTTAAGGACCTGGCTGAATTTTGATCTTGATTTGTTAAATAAAGCAAATAACAAAACAAATGCCTGTAATGCAGAACTAGTCTGGGCACTCTGATTAGGTCCTTTGGTCTGTTCATTTGCTGCTTTCCATCATGTATAGTATGTTTACTGATGTACAACAGGCGTATAAAACACCTCCATCTGTGATTTTCCATCTCTTTTTGTCCAGTGTAAACAAATGCAAACCTGTAACACACTGGAGAATCTACATCCTTGACACTGGACAAGTAAAACTACACATGTAGCACACAAATAAATGCATAGAGAAAGAAGAACAGGAGTCAGGGCTGTGGTTTGAAGTCTGTTGATAACATATAACAGATTACTCTGTTGGTCAGCACTAACAACACCTTGAGTTAAGTTGGGCTGATCACCCTAAAATGTTCCAAAAAAAGCTTCCCAAATTGGCACAAGTTTTGTTTATGCCACAGATTGGTATGTTTTCTTAAAATTCCTTTTGAGTTTGTGCTCAGCTTTCACTATTTGAATTATAGTAGTTTTCTGGAAAGCAGAAGTGCTATTGGCATCCATACAATCTGGGAAAACTACTGTTTAGTAGAAAATAGCTTACAATATTCTACCATTAGAGTTTACTAGCTAAATACTGTCTTATAGTCACTACATGATATATCATTACATTTTCTGTGTTACAGCAAAGCAAAAGACATAGCATGTATTAATTGGAAACAAAATTCATTAATAGTATAATAGCAACAATCTATTAAAATTGGTTAGCATGCCTCTGTTCATTTGGAAACACCTTTTGATTTTTCCAAAAACATCTCAAATAAATTAAGAAAATTTAAAAAAGAAAACAACACTTTAGAACAACACATTAATATTTAATTACTGCACTTCTAAGCAAAATGTTCACCAAATACTTCAAAAAGTGGATTTTCAGTCATAAATTAAGTGCACAAATTGCCATTATGGCCACATTCAAAATAATAAAGGACAACATTCATTCTTGTTGCAGAGAAAATTAAGTCTCTTTAAGTGTTGCTCTTTGCCATGAAGTACTTTCTATCTATGTAGTGTATTTTATTTCCCTTTTTGGCAACAACTGCACAACTTTGAAGACATTCTCATAAGTCTTCATAGCTGAACATCACCAAGTTCAAAAGCTTTGTTTTAGCCAGTTAAGTACAGAATTCACACCAGATTTCTTGAGAATGTCCATAACTTGCCCCGTGGCAAGCAGGCAGGATGGCAGGAGGGCAGCATGCAACATCCACCCTGCCTGCAAATGGGAGAATGACCCAGGGCCCCAGGGCACTGCTGACCTTCACAACAGGCTTTGGAAGCTTTCACTAAGCCAAAGTAAGCTTTTATTTATTACTGTTTGCTCGACTTTTCAAAACTTACTATTCCAAACCACTTGTCAAACAGCTGCTTCGTGATAAACTTTCAGCCCATGATCTGATACTCCAAGCTAAAGCTGGTGGCAAAACTTAGTGCCCCAAAAAGGACTCAGAAACACGACAGCAACCCCCTTGCTCCCCTCACTAGGCACTGCTCTGCGTATTTGTGCAGTTCAACCCCTACAAAGGGGTGAAAGTTTAGCAGTGAATGCAGGCCTGCCACTATGCAATGATTTCTAATGTGCTTTTTGGAGTCCTTCTGATGAACTCACCTTCTAAACTGCAACAGCTGTAGAGGAAAACAAGTAACAAGAGCTATGAAACCACAAGATTGCAAGAAACGCAAATACAGATATTTTTAAGACAGTAATTTAGCTGGAAAAGAGTTGATGTCTTTTTGGACCCATACAGGAGTCTTGTGGCAACCACAGTCATTTGAAAGTGGTTCCAGAGCAGTCAAGAAGTGTGCTTAAAAGGTTATGAGAAGAAGCAATGGCCAGACACAGCCTAGATCCCTAATGTCCCAGAGTTACGTTGTTAGTTTTTCAAATCATTATTAACTCAAATAGCCTGCTCAGAGAACAGAGTAATGGACAGCCCACTTTTGCTGAAAAAGAAAATAGACCCAATGTATGTCTTTATTCAAGGAGAAAGGGAACAGCACTCAAATGTGTAAAAGCATTATTTCTGCCACTTTTGTTTAATAGAAAAAAACATGTAATTTAATTGTAAAGCCATGCATATGGACTGTAAACTTAAAATCAGGCCAGAGATAAATGTTATGGTTTGGATATAAACTGAATATCGGTATTTATAATTGAAACGAGGACATAACCTTAACTTGTGTCACAGAGAGAAACACTATAATTAAAAACTTTTATGGGGTAATAACTAATTTTGTATTATCCATGCTCTTTAAAGTTCCCATAGCAATGTAAAAGTTTTATTGGGCTCAATGTTATCAATGTATGCATTTATGAGCACCCACATTATTCCGCGCAAGCTGTTCTCATCATCCTGAAGTCTTTTGCGAGAGGCAGCTCAACTAACGGGACTCGCTGGTCCAGCTTCTTTCGCTACACCTGCCACCGAGGAGATAAGCCGGCGCTGTCGAACGCGCACCCTACTGACAGAAGCCATAGCTCACCTAACACGGTTTTAAACAAAATGCACACTGGTATGTGATTCCCGGCAAAAGAAACCCCAGCTCCCCGCACTCCAGAGCCGGCGGGCGGGCGCGCAGTGCCGCCGCTGCTCCGCGGAGCGCGCCCGCTTGGAGCGCACCCGCCCGGCCCGGCCCGGCCCGGCTCGGCTCGGCCCGGCCCGGCCCGCGGGGGAAGGCAGCGCGGCTGCCCGCGCCGGCTCCGCGGCACCGCACTCGCGTCCCACCGCGGGCTCCCACCGCGGCATCGCCCCGCGGGTCCCGGCGCTTCCCCGCACCCCGGGGGCTCCAGCGGGGAGCGGAGCGCTTCCTCCCCACGCCGCGGACCTCCGCTGGACCCGACGGGGGCCCGCCGCCCCGGGGCCGGCGGCGGGGAGCGGCGGCCGCCCGGGGGCAGCGTGACTCCCGCAGCAAACTCCGGGACTTGGCAGAGGCAGCAGCTTGGGGAGGGTGGTGCAGGGGGGAGGGCAGCGCTTCCCACCTCCAGCCGCTAATGACATTTCTAGAAATTGTTTCCCCTCCTCCCTGGCAGCCCCGCACCCGCCGCCGTGGCGGGCAGGGACGGGGGTGTGCAGGGGGAGGTCAAGGGCATGCAGCGCGGGGGGTGCAATAAAGACAGCCCGGGAGGGAGTTGAGGAGCGAAGGTGGGGGTGGGGGGTGAAAGGGGTGTGCAGAAAAGATGGGGGATGAGTCCAACTCGAGGTACCAGAGGTGGGTGGGCACAAGGTATTATTGAGGGGAAGAGGGTGACAGTGGTGGGGGGGGAGGGGGGGGCGGAGGGACGAGTGCAGGTGACCCCTCCAGCCAAACACCACACTCATCTCCCAGACCCACCCTGGAAGTCAGGGGATGGGGGCAGTCGTCCCTCTGCCCCTGCCAAGCCAGCGATGCTTGGAGAGCAAGTGACAGAGGAGACACTGCTAATACACCCGCTGTCCCAGTTATTGTACCCTCGGGCCAATGCACCCCCCTTATTGCACGCCCACTATTGCTGCACCCCAAATTTACTGCATCTCTCCAGGTAAGTGCACACTCACTCCAAATTATTGCACATGCCCCAGTTATCGCGCCCCCTCCAGTTACCGCACATCCCCCGCAGCCCCTGTGTCCCCGCGCCCGGGGGGAGCAGAGGCACCACTCACCATAGAGAGTCGAGGTCCCACTCCTGAAGGAGAGCTAAGTCGAAGCTGTCCATGGTGAGCGATGTCAGCGCCGCCGCGCTGCAACCACACGGCGTCCGGGGCGCATCGTAACTGCACCGCGGGCAGGGCGAGGGCGCGGAGCACCCCCGGCGCCGCCGCCGGCCGCTCTCCGCACACGCGCGGGAGGGGACGGACCCCACAGCCCCCTTCCTCCGCTTCCCCCTAGGAAAGAAGCAAGCACCCTGCCCCCAGAAGAAAGCACACGGTGCCGCCGCTCGTGTGCGAGCGGCGCGGCGCGGCTGGGCTCGGCTGGGCTCGGCTCGGCCGCCGCCGCCGCCGCGCTCCGCTCCCGCCCCGCTCCTCCTCCCTCCCGCCCGCCCGCCCGCCGCCGGGAGCGCGGCCGAGGCGGCGCCCGCCCCGCGCACGCAGCGCCCGCGTCCGCGCAGCGCCCGCCCGGCGCGGGGGGGCGGCACAGCCCGCCGGGCAGGGGGAGTGCTGGCAACTTGCGCCCGGGTGGGGGGTTTGGCCCGCCGAAGTTGGGTTTGGGGTGGGTTTTTTCCCCCTCTTCCTCCTCCTCCTGGCCAGGTACCCTGGGGTGGCCCACAACACCCCGGGTCACCAGCACCTCACGCGTGGTAAAGCACCACGATGCTCGGCTGAGAAGCGCTGGGGAGAAATTGTGGCATTTATTGTGGGCCGGGGCCGGGGCTATAGCCGTTGTTCGCCGTGATGGAGCCAGCGGCCCGGAATGCTCCCACCGGCTCTCTCCGCAGTCCAGGGGTTGGGCTGGGTTAAGGCCTTTTTGCACCAGTTCTTCATTAGATATGTAATAAACTGCACCTGTGCAAGTCTTCATGTCCGTACAGGTCCACCTAGACCTGCACAGGCAAATAAAGGTCCCTGGATTGCACAAAGCATTTAAAAATGAGTGATCTCTGGTTAAAAATAAAAGTACCAATCATCAGCATTTGCCACCCAAAGCGAGTAAGATGCCTTGCACTGCCATCCAGCCTGTGTGAGGCACCGGCTGTGATATCTGGCTGGCCAGGGGAGGCAGGCGCTTCTGATTTGTAGTTGCTGAATCACATTAAGAGAGGTTAACACACATTAAATACTTTCCAGAATACTGGGCTTTTCAGCTAAGCTGTGAGTAGCTGCCAGAGAACTGCCATGTCATCGCAGACAGGGAGAAGAAATGTGCAAAATCCGTGACGAAAACGGGGCTATTCATGCAACAGCACCAACGTGAATATCTGCAGAGCGATCCCACACTGGGAGATCCCTGCTCTTGGAGACCGAGCCAACCCAGCTGGCAGCTGGCTAGGGCACCCTGACGTGTATGACACCCTGGCAGCCCAAAGCAGTGCTCAGGCTCAAGTATTTATGCAGGCTTTTCGTTGGATTTTGTGATTGTATGTTGTTCGTTCCCGAGTTAGCTTGATTTAATTTAGGGCTGGTAACCTTGCACAAGCTGCGGCGCAGCTTCGGCTGCGGCATAGGCACCCTCCAAGGAAAAGGTTCGAAAACCCGTTTGCACGGGTCTGAAAACAGTTTGCACGCCAATGTCGGCAAGTCATCTGAAAGTCCCAAGCCACTCCACAGTTGCTTCTGTTCCCTTCCACAGCCAAGGTGGTGCTGCCTCCTACTGCCAGAAGTCCCCCGACCCTCGGGATGTGGCACATCTTCAGCCTGGAGTGACACATGGGAGCCGGCTCCTGTAATGCCTGTCTCCTCACTTTGCCCAGCGTGTGTCCCGGTTGGGCAGTCTTGTGGCATCCCCTGCCTACCCAGAGCAAATGAAATGAAAATGAAAAAAATTCATGCCAGTTCAGATGCCAGGCTTGGTACAGTATTAATAGGCACATAAAGCCACCGGAAAACAGGTTTTCTGTCAGCTGGGGTAAAGCTTACCACAACAGAAGATTGAGCCTGGAAAGCAGGTAACATTCTCAACAAATACATTACTTATGTGTGAAGGAGTGAAGGGCAGCATATTTATGCTGACCTTTTCAAACCACAGCCTGTGCTGCCTCACTCTTCTTATTTTAAGGGAGGTTGTGCAACACCCATTGCAGCATGACCCCTATTCTTTCCCTGAGACCCAACTTAAGCAATGATTTGCAGAAGTGCTTAAATCACCTCTGAAATGGTACATACAGCAGGGCAAGCTTACGCTGCCTTTATGGACTATATCACTAGAAGTGGGACCCCCTTTACACCAGTGCTGGAATTTACCCCAGGTCATTCTGTAAAGAGCAAGGTGGATTGCAATGCTCACAAGTGGTAGCTGAAGTGTGGGGACTTGGAAGCAAAATTCATCTTCCAAACTGAGATCAATAGAAAATGTAAACAGCATAAACAGCACTGAGTGAATTAAATTTCAAAGAGTAATACATAATGATAGGCAGTATGTTTTGTTTTTAATATGTTTTAGCACAAAAAATTATTATTTTTCTTTTACATTTCTTGATTGTGTATCATTATCCTGGTGTTCTTTTCTTTCCCATCATGGCCGTGATTCTCCTCTCAAGCAGAGCAGAGAACATCAAGACTAATTGCATTGAAATTAATGTCAATTCAAAATCCCAACTGCTTTGGCTATCTGCCAGGTGCTTAATGTTTCCTCTGACCCTGGTGGCATTTTTTAAACTCTTTGTATGTGAGACCTCACCTACAGGTTAACCTTCCACCCCTAAATTTGCTTCCTCTGTGATGTGCCTGGCTGGGCTCCTCTGCTGGCTCCTCAGTATAATGCTGTGGATGGTCCCTCTGGCTGGAGCATCCCCTGTGCTCCATGTCTTATTCATTCAAATCCTTCCCTCCTTCCAGCCACTGAACAGTAAACTCACCTGCTGCTTTCTTACTTAGAAGTGTCCCATCTATCTTCAGTGGGTTCCATGATCAAAACCATAACATACAGTAAATTGACACAGACTGTTTAAAAAAACTCCAGGATGGTGACTGAAGAAAGTCCTTCCCCACTGCCTGCTGCAATCCACAGCTTTCCCACAGCCACCAGCAATCCCCTGTCATCCCTTGCTGTGTGACTTGTCAATGTATTTTCAACTCCTGTAGGGAATGAAACCTGCATTTTTACGAAAGCGTGCCATTATATAAATAAAAATATGTCATGTGCTAACCCTGCTCATTATACATATACTTTTCATTATCCATATAGACATTACTTGCCTCTTCATTGTGCTCTTTCCTGTTAACAACTATTCAATAAGTATAAGCAAGCAACTGTGCCCAGTCAAGCAGACTTTTTAAGAAGACCAGAAGGCCTAGGAACAATATGCAATTCAAATCCCTTACATAAAGATTGCATGCAACAGGGAAGCTGAACATCATCTTAAAAGTTGACATTTCCCTCTTCTCAGACTCTCTGTCTTATGTGTGGCATAGCAACTGCCTGAGGAAGAGTAAAGATAATTTTAATGTAACATAAAATAAGGGGGAGGTGAGAAATACTACATTCCTAGTCAACATCCTGTACGCAAAATACCACCATAGTATCTCTTTGGTATGACCTACCTTTAAAACATGTACCCAGCAAGAAATTAATTCCTAGTGAATTCATAAGACCTTAGCTGAATGCTTTCAAAGAATAAAAGAGAGGAATTCTGGAGGTGGCCAGTTTAGGAAATGTTTTAGCATTAGTACAGCGTGTCTCAAGAAGAAGAAATTCTACATCTTGCCCAACTTGTGATACACCAGAGTGGTGGGACTCAGGCAGAACCTCTTTTTCGCCTGTGAATTTCAGTGTTTTCTGGAGACAACCCATGTACATGCAGCGTGGTCCAGGATGAGACAGTGCATGTCACATCTTGTGGTGTCGGAGACAAAGTGAGGGCTGTTACACCTCACCACATCTCTTCAGTAAATCCATGCCTGCTCTTGTCCCAACAGCCTAATCCATCAGCAATTCCTTCAGAGGGCAGACTGCTGCATTGTTTGGCAGGGAGGGTTACCAAACAGTCACATGTGTGGAAGTGTGATGACTTCCACCTCTCACTGCAAGGCAGTGCTCCATGGCAGCTCTGGTAACTGCTCTGAGCCCTTGTGCAGGCTGTGACAGGACACACGTGGTTCCTCGGTGAGTGTTTGCAAAACGCCTAGACACAAATCTCTTCCATGAGTTGAAAAGCCAAGAAGCATTATTTAGTCTTGCTTTAGCATCTCATCACCATTCTGAGCAGTACCTATTTCTGCTGGGCACCAGCTCCACAGGGGCAAGAGATCCTAAATTAGAGCTAGTTTTGCAGAATCAGTCCCTCAGTGCTTTTGGATGTGTTTTGTTTTTCCAGGGGTCTCTAAAGTAGTCTAATGAGTATACTTTATAATAGGTTTGCTATTTAAATTCAAATACAGTGTTCCAATGTGGATACTTACACGCTTAAGTGTAAAGAGTTTTCAATGTAGTAGTGGGTTTTCATGACCTCATAGTTTACAGCAAAGGCAAACCCACTGGATTATCTAGTCTGGCCATATGTATATCACAGCCTATCCAGTGTCACTGTTCTTCCCATATTGAGCTCAGTAACTTGCAGTTTGAGCAGATGCACAGTCCATAGTTTAGTACTCTTAATGTAATAAAATGCACATTTGAGAACAATTTTTCTCTCTAACTAACTTTACTTTCTCCCTGTATCTTTATGTCTTCAACCAGATAATGTTTCATTAAATCAGTGATAAGTTCCAGCACAATGGTTAGCGTTGCTTCAGCAGAGAGAGAAATGAGCTCTGAATTGTGTTTCCCTATTTATTTAAACTTGCAATCTGCTTTGAAATTCGTTAGGATGAAACTTGTGTTTATGCCTGATCACTAACATACGCCTAACCTTAACTGACTCAGCAGGTGTAAGTGCTCCTTGATTCTGTGCTCTTACACGCTCCTTTATTGCATTATTGTATATTGTATTCGTTAGGTGGCTCTTCTCTAGTCACTACAAAAGATGCCAAAAATATTGTGAATGATTTCTCTCCTGTAAATATCATCACAGTCTATTTATACACTGTAGCTTCTGAGATTTGATAAGACCAGAGTGTAATATGGCATGGATACAGATGCTGTCAAAGTTAAGTTAACACAACATATTTCATCACTCTCCCACTTAACATGCATAATACACAAATGGTTGAAGCTATCACTCTTTTAAAGAAGCAAAATATATGGATTTAATTTTTAATGATTTAACTTGGTAATTAATCCAAATTATTAGTTAACAATAGTTAAAACAGAGAACTATAATGGATTCTCTGGATAAAGAAAATATTTATTATTTTAATAAGGTGCATGGCTGGAAGTCTAAGTCAAGTCT